CGGTGACACTAAGTATAAAATTGGGCGACTATAGTGAAATAAAATAAAATTGAGTGGTCATGATGACACTAAGAGCATGTTTGGTAGGGCTTAAAATTCAATTAAAATTGAAAATATAACCGTTATTTGATTTCACTCGTCTAATACAAGTCAATAATAACAGCTAATTTTTCAGTTTTAGTCTGAAATTAATTTCTATCGAATACACCCTAAGTATGAAGTTTGGTGTTCATTGATTTAACCCCAATTCTTCCGCATTGAAATGATCCACGTGGCACGAAACCAAAGCAAGTACCAAATAGCATCTTACGCTGGCTCGTAGAATGAACACTCAAAATGAACCCAAGTGTGCCATATACATACTCTCCTCCCTCCTTTTTCTAGCTTTAAATACATCCACTCTTCCTCTCAATTCCCCCCGAAAATCTCAATTTACGAAATCGCCTTTACATGCACACGAAATCATTGTAAATTTGCAAAAATGGGGAGAGGAAGAGTAGATTTGGACGGGAATCCGATAAAGCCGATTACAATATGCATGATCGGCGCCAGAGGATTTATTGGCTCGCACCTTTGTGAGAAGATTTTGGCAGAGGTGCCGCACAAGGTTTTGGCATTGGATGTGCACAATGACAAGATCAAGCATCTGCTGGAGCCTTCTGGTGGTTCCGATTCGCAGCCGTGGGCCGATCGTATCCAGTTTCACCGACTCGACATCAAGAATGATTCGCGACTTGAAGGATGTTAGGCAAAGTGTTGTCAAACGACCTCCCCGGACAATGATGAAAGTCTTACTCTTTTTCAGTCGGTTTTGACCAATTGACTGAATGCATAATCGACACCACAGCTAGGTGAAATTTCAACTTGACCGACGTGGGCCATTTGAAGCATCCTAATTGAATAAGGGTTACTCATGGCCCAACCCAAATTTGGATGACTCCTACAAAATGCTGGCCTACTACTTATCCTCTCATTGGGCCCCCTAACCTAAAGCCCACTTATTCCTATTATATACACCATCCATTACTATTCTAGGTATGAGAATCTACATACGTTTTTCTAGATTTAGAAAAGGGAATTCTTCTCTACTTCGTGACAGTGCCTGGTTTTGTGCTTTACCCTGTGAGAATTCAAGTTAGCCTTAGTGGTCTAACTTCCTCGGCTACATTCTTCTCATCCCCTAGCCTTTGTGGGTTATCNTTGGTTGCAATTATTGTTTTTAAGGATAGTTTAGGTAGTTTATATGGTTGAATAGTAAAAAGGGGTATTTTGAAAAAGTTATTGCTAAACTTTTGGTATTTTCAATAATTTCACAATAGGCTCAAAATAACAGTGATACACACGCAATAATCTCTCTCCAAATTCGAAGCGTGCCGGTGAAGTCACGACGTCAGCAAACCCAACACGTGGGTCCCAAAAATGCCACGTGTCCCCTAAATGATCTGTCAACACTCGTTTTGTGAACTTCCGTTACGATTTGAAAATTGAAACCTGCTCTTTCCACGCTCCCAATTGTTAATAGCACTCGTGCAACATTTCTCTTTATTTGCCTTTCTTCTTCTTCTCCATATAACCGACAATGCGGTTAGCCTGAAAACCCCTCAATCAGAGGGGTTATAATTGTACTCATGTTCTTCATATCGATTTTTCTGGGGCAATAATTGTACGTTTTGGTGAAAATAATTTGATTTGGTGTAGAAAACCTGGAATTTGATTCGGTGGCAATGATTTACGACGCTGCCGAAGAGGATTTCAGGGTTGAGGATTACGTGAAATTGGAGGAAGGTTTAGACGGTGGGACCTACAGGAAGGTGGTTGCTGAGGCGTCGACATCAGGTTGTTGTGGTGGAAATGGTGGCGGTGGCGGAGGGTGGTTGTGGTCGTTGTGGTGGTGGGCGAAGCTGGTGTTGGTGGTGGCGTTTTTAGTGCTGTTGGGTGCTGTTTTCTTCAAATGGGTCGGACCCTTCTTCATGGATAAGGCAATTTTTCTTCTAAATTACTTGTTCATAATTTTTCCAGGAGCTTTTTATGATTGATCATTTGAAACTTTAATTTCTAATTGAATATGTTTTGTGATGAATATTTTGAGTTGTTAATTTGAGTCTGATGAATGAGGATAATTGATTTTTGTGCATATGAATGGTCCTGGAAATCTTTCCTGTTTTATATTTAGGGGCTTTTCTTCATCATCTGTTCAAGCAATTACATTTAGAACTTTCTTATATTCAATAATTCAGAATGTTTATCTTTATGGTTATATTTGCTAATTTGTTTTTAAAACAAATGACAAGTTCCATCTTTTTGTCGAGGGAAATGTAATCAATGTTTCATGAGCAAAAGAAAATTGTGCATTTCATTTATTAGCCGGAAAGAGTTTGTAGCTCTTAGCTTGCTGGTCATTTTTATTTTAACACTGATTACTTCATTGTCACTTCCATTCTAATTGATGTCAAAATTTCAGTTGAGATCTGAAGCTGTACATAATACACTAACACATTGTTTGGTAAGAAGTGCAGAACGGGACTAGGCAGTAGTATGAGCAAGATTTTAACTTGTTTTTCTTGTTTGGTACTGTGCGCCACTGCAAACATGCACTATTTATCTTAACAGATTAAAGAGTTTACTAGTACTATATCTTTTCCCCTTTGCCTAGATATGGTTTGACCGTTTTCAGTAATTATAACGGTTCTCCTTGATCATATAGTTTTCTGAGTACATCTTGTTCCTTTTCAGGAAATCATCCCCATTATAATTTGGGAGAGGGAAACATTCAGCAAATCAATGCTAGCACTTATAGTATTTAGTTCCATTGCAATATTTCCAACCCTGCTTTTACCTTCTACTCCTTCTATGTGGGTGGCCGGGATGACTTTTGGATATGGGTACGGATTTTTGCTGATCATTGGAGCAGTGGCTATTGGTGTCTCTCTTCCCTATCTCATCGGTTTTCTATTCCATCATAAGATCCAAGTACATACTTTTAATTATGTACACTGTTACTCAGAACTAATGTCTTTGCTTTGATTTAACATTATTATATTTTTTCCATTCCACAGGTTTTGTTGGAAAAATATTCTAAGCAAGCTTCCATTATAAAACTCGCTGGTGAGGGAAATTGGTTCAATCAATTGCGAGATGTCACCTTGATTAGGATTTCTCCTTTCCCTTATGTTGTATATAATTACTGTGCTGTGGCTACCGATGTGAATTATTGTCCTTACTTGTTGGGGACACTGGTAGGAATGGTGCCAGAAATATATGTCGCAATTTACACGTAAGATCTCCTCTCTATACCAAAAAAAAAAAAAGAATAAAGGATGTCTCAAGATTTTTTTTATCTGTTCTCTATTAAAAAGAAAACATGAAAACTTTGTTGAGCCCCCGTTTGGGCCACCTTTTTATCTCATTAAAATGAAAAATATGATCGTTATCCATTATATCAACATTTAAATTCAAATTTTCTATCTCTTGTGCGGGCCTCAATAACGGCTATATTTTTCATTCTCATTCTACAAAAAAGTGGCTCAAACAGGGCCTGAAACACTAACCTGAAATTTATTTCCGCATTTGTACATTAAAAGTTATCACTTTATGTGTGATATGGAGGTTTACTTAATTTCTAGCAGGTTTGGATTATTCCCATTCTTCCTGTTTTCTGCATAATCTGTTAACGATGGTTATCATTGTAGTTATCTTTATCTATGGGTTTGATATCCTTGACACATCTTCTTTGGTGCAACTTCTTGCATTCAGTCTTTTCACATAATAGTCTTTGTTTACACATGGCTTCCATAATTTTTAGTGCATGATTGGGGAAGCTTAATCTTTTTTGATTTTTAAGTGCTTATGCTTTGGAAAGAAGTGGGTTGGTAAGTTGTGGATTCTATAAAAAGAAAGGAGTCGTAAATGCTTCGCTCAAGTGTGAGAAGTCAAATCTAGTTCTGCGGATACTGCTTTTGATTAATAAATTGTTTGGATAAAATGTATGTTTGAGAAGCTTAAGCCCCTGTTTGGTGGCATTTTTGGAAAAAAATGTTATAAATAGTTTTTTTTTTTTTTGGACAATGTGTGGTTAAAAAATAGGGAAAACTTTTGGGTTATATGTAAAATATTTTATTGTGTGAATGTGTAGTTGAAAATAAGAATGTAGAAAAAAGAGTTTCAAAAGAATGGGAAACAAACGGGGGCAAAATTAAATTTAAGCTTTGCCAAACATGCACTATATGTCGGATTCCATAGCAATCTGTATGAGTTCCTCATCCCTGGGTATCAACTATATGATGATTGCTGGTGCTCTCTCTCTCTCTCTCTCCATCTGCGTGTTTTCATATATGCAATATAAGTTTTTGTTTCTTTTAGTTGAGGGGCATAACTGTCTAAAGATTTTATGCTTGGGGTAAAGGGAAAATGTGAAAAGCAAAGGGGGTAGTCCGATGTGTTAGAAGACCGTGAAAAAAATTTCTTATTGGACTCCAAATATGGTCTTTAACTTTTACTGGAATTTTTATTGGTGCAATAGCTTATTGTAATGCTTCGGTTTCTTGTATTTGATAACTTATATTCTGATACTTGGTTTCTTTTTGCTGCCATGGAAAATTTATGCCTCTTATAATTTGCTTTCCTCTATGATCAAATCTCCAACTCATGTCGTGTTTGTTTTTACTGTAGAGGCATCTTGATAAAGACTTTGGCTGATGCTTCAAATGATCGGCGCTCATTATCAGCAGCACAGATTATTTGCAATGTTATTGGCTTTTGCATTTCCGTGGCAACGACAGTGATTGTCACATTTTGCGCAAAAAGGCGACTCAAGAAACTTCAAGCTGAAGAGGAGCTATTGTTGCACTGATGTTTTGTTCTTTTACTGCTGGATCAAGTTGGAGAATGGCAAAAAAGAGTCACTAATTTTATTCCCACGTATAATATTTGTCAATAGTTCGTCCTGGGAATGTTCATTGACGTGTTATGGCTGCATAGAGTGGGTGGGAGAGGGAGACAATAGAAGAAAGGTAAGACGATTGACATCATAGTAAGCAATTTAATTTCGAAAGAAACATTACAGTTTTTTTCATCTAACATTCTTTAGCATCTGTATATAATTTTGCTTCAAGAGTTAAATTACTGGAGATTTTGAACTGCTAATTGAAATTACAGATTCTTCAATATTGAAAGAAATTGTTTTCATGTGATTTGGCCAGTTAGGGATGGGCATTTTACCCGCTAAATCGCATAACAGCCCAACTCGGATCGATTTGGGTCGGTTTTTGGGTTACCTGGACCCATCCTGCAAACCTCGGTTTCGTGTTCTTTTCCCTTTTATAAAAAGAATTATATTCAAGGATATTTTACCCTTTAATCTGAGCAACTTGACTTGATGCAATCCAACCGACTTGGTTAGTTTGGGTAAGTTTTTAACTTGTATTGGGTTGGTTTCGGGTTGGAATTTCACCCGTTTTGGTGGGTGGGTTGAGCTCCAACCCAACACAACTTGACTCGTGCTCACCCTGCATGAGATGATGAGTTTGTATTATCTCGAGTAGTCGTCTCGTCCCCATCATCGAAAATGCAAAGCGACATCTGGTTATAAGCCACACAGAGTGAATAGGGCATAAAGCACTTTAACTAAAGGTGTCAAAGAAATTCAAATCGCCCTTCATAAATCAATATGTGGTGGGTTGGATAAGAAAAGGGCATAAATTTGAAAAAAGTTTTGTAAAAAAGAAAGCAAACTAAAGTAAGCACGAAAGAGTTGTGTAAGATCTTTTTAGACAAGATAATTGCTTCTTAGGAAATATTAAGGTTGTAGTCCCTAACCTTTCTTTGGATAATTGTTTAATAATATACATGTAGTTTAGTCCAATAAGGTACAATTTTTAATGAAATTTTACATTTTATTAAAATTACTAAAATATTAAATTGCAAATTTCATTACTAATGTGAGGGACGTAATTGAAGATGTTAGTTAGATGGAGGATTTAATCGAAGATGCTAGTAATTTGTAAATTGATGCTATTAGCCTATTAGTAAGATGGCAGAACTCAATTGAGACATGGGGAACTTAGTTGTAAATGTACTTAGGTATAGGGTCTAAAATAAAGATTCTGGAAAGTTTAGGACTCCATTACCAATTATATGAAGATGAGGTACTGAATTGATGATTTGATAAAAAGTAACTATTTGAAAATATTAGTAAGCTTGAGGACTATATTAATGATAAGAGAAATATTGAGGACTACATTAATATTACGCGAAAGTTTGAGGATCACATTAAAAAAGTCAGTAAGCTAAGTGTCACAGAGATGTTTTGTATTAGTAAAGTGACTCATTTAAAGGTAAAAGTAAGGCTGGAAGACCTGCAGAAAGATGAAAGTAAAATACAGTATTAAAGCAAAGATTTTGATAGGTTCAGCTTTGATTTCTCCTCTTCTTATCTATATATATATTCTTTGTACTTGGAGTTCGAAATCTTTAACTTAATGCGATCATGCATCTCCTTCATTTTTAGAGCATATCTTCTCTTTTTACATTAGTCATTCCACATTTTGGTATCGAAATTAGATCATAAAAGTGAACTGGTTGCTTACCATGGACTATCTCAAACGAGATTTTTCCAGTACTATTTTTGGAGTGGTTGTAAGCGAATTATTCATGTGCAATGATTCATTCCCATCGCTTTGGATTTTCCCCAACCAAACATCGCAAAAAAGTTACCCAAATTGCTATTAACAGATTAAGTCTGCCCATCAGTCGAGGATGGTAAGAACTACTGTATTGCAATTTGGTTTCTAGTTTCTTCCATAAAGATCTCCAAAAATGTGATAGGAACTTTGAATCACGATATGAAACTATGGACTTGGGAACTCCATACAAACGCATAATTTCTTGAAATGAAAGAGAAGTGACATTTGATGTATCACTAGTTTTCTTTCAGTTAATAAAATGAGCCATCTTTAAAAATCGATTGACGACCACAAAGTTGGAATCCATCCCTCGTTGGCTTTTAGGTAATCTCACCGCGAAGTCCATTCTCCCAAGGTACTTTTGCTTTAATCCACTTAAATCCTCTTCAAACTGACTTCGTATCCCAAAAAAGCAAGGAATCTATCATAAATTGACATTTCTTTAAATTGGCATAAAGCTTTTATTCTGTAAAACACTGAGAACTTCCTTCAAGTATAACAAGTGAGGATTTTTATCTCCACTGTAGACCAAATTATAGTCAAAATAGACGGCAACGAACTTTCCAATGAATGATTTTAAGACTTGATTCATCGAACATATAAATGTGCTAAGAGCATTTGATAAACCAAAGGGCATTACCATCATTCATATAGTCTCTTCTTAGTCTTGAATGTAGTCTTCCACTTGTCCCCTCCACGAATTCGAATTTGGTGGTATCTACTTTTACGATCAATTTTTGAGAACACCTTAGCCCCTTTCAACATATCCAACATGTCATCTAGTCTTGGAATTGGAACTATTTACTTTGTAGCAATCTTATTGATAGCTCTACTATCAACACATATTCTCCACGTACCATCCTTTTTTGTAATTAAGTAGGCTAGAACTGCTCAAGGGCTCATTGATTTCCTAATAAACCATTTTCAACCTATTTTGAAGTTCTTCATGCTTTTTAGGGCTCTTTCGATAGTGTGGCAAAGGCACTAGATCAATATGATGTTGAATCATTCAGTTTGGAGGTGAACCAACAGGCAATTTCGAAGTAAAAGTTCTTGTAAATTCTTCAAGAAGAATGTTGATTTCAAAAGAGACAACTTGTTTGACATCTTTTACTTCTTTTGTTAATAGCACATAAGCGACTTCTTCATCCTCACGTTCAGCCAAAAAAATTTGAACCCTCAAATAAGATTGTCCATTGGCTTCTTTAGACTTTGAGAAGTCTTTATCATTCATTGAAGCGAGTACTACTTTAACTACATCCTTACAGAAGTCATAAACATTATTTTTCCCATGATGTATAGTTTTACTGTCAAACAACCATGGTTTGCAGAGTAATAAATGGTATGTCTCAACCACATCATATAGAACTCGTTTGGAGTAAGATTTTTTTAATAGAAAAAGAACCAGACATTGAATTGCTACCTTTACTTCACCTCCTTTCTTATACCATGCTATGCAGTAGGGTTTTAGATGTGGTTAAAACTTCAAGATTCAACTTTAGAAACCAAAGTTTTGCAAATTCCTCCATCAATAACATTGCAAATCTTCCATATTTAGGTGAACAAAGTGAAACTAAAATATA